AATGTGTTTTCTATGTGTTCTCCTGGAAAGTGACATATCTCTCAATAGAGCTATTTATTCTAATGCAGAGATTTACATTCTACTTAGCTGAAAAACATTGCAAACTTAGACACAGTCTTGTCAGTGCCAGGACTGAATTTATTACAGGAAGCATTATTCTGCTTCTCCCTTTCAACCTTGTTTTCTGACACTTGACTAAGACTTCCAGGTCAAACCATTATTATTTGAAATTGCTTATTCTCAAACTTCCTTCTTTCCTTTCTTTCTTTCTTTCTTTCTTTCTTTCTTTCTTTCTTTCTTTCTTTCTTTCTTTCTTTCTTCCTTCCTTCCTTCCTCCACAAACATTCACACTAAACTAATCTTTATCTTATCAAACCCCAAACCTGTTTTCTTTTCTCCTCCCCTTCCTCTTCCTCCTTCTTTTTGAGAAATGAGTTCAAGCCAAGAACATCCTTGAACTCTCTATAAACCTTGGATGACAATGAATTCTTTATACTCCTGCATCTCCTTCCCAAGTAGTGGGATCACAGGTGTGTTCCATCATACTTGGCTGAATATATATATACATATATATATTCATATTCTCTAAAGACAGTTAAGTCTTGTGGTTTCCAATTTCTTCACATTTTCCAACAGAGAATAGGCATACTCTATGGGGCACAGAACTGGTGGACAGTTCTTTGGCAGAAAGTTTACAGATGAACTTGTGGTTATTTCACTTCCACATATGAAGACAAACAATGAATTCTGGAATAAATTTTGCTTCAACCTGTTGTATCAGCCCCACATCTTAACTAAGAGTCTTTTAGAAGCCCTTACACCCTTATTGTAATCCATTAGTAGTGGTCAGTCTGGCTGTAAGATGTACACTAAAATTGCACACTGTGCTTTTGAATATAAAGTTTTATCTAATTCTTTGTTGATCAACATGTGAAGGGAATTAAATAATAACCATTTAATTCCTGTTATGTATCATAAGGGCCACAGTCATCATTTCCCTTGAATTATCAAAATTGCCGTACATGTACAGTCCAATTACTATCTCCATTGTTACATGCAGATCAAGACTTAAAAAACTCTAAGTGGTTTCTAGTGAATTCAAAGAAGTCTGTAGGATTTGAGAAATCACTCAAGGAGTACATTTTGTTTCATTCACAGGATATAAGTGACAGTGTCAGGATTTCATTCCTTTTTTGTTTTTTTCCCTGTTTATTTCTGTTCTAAAGTTCAATTCCCTTTGGACTTCAGCTCCATGCTGAACCTTTTACAAGTTTTCTGGGGGTTAAGAGAACTACAGCCATGTGCCTGAACCTCTCAAACTCTAGTGTGTACAATATATATTCTCAGATCATTACTGAGAGCTGGTAATATACAATATACATTCTCAGATCATAAACTTTCATAGACAGCCCTACTCTATTTTCTTCTTGGTATTGGTTTCTTGTTGTCAGGTTAACTTCTGTGCCACTAATACTATGTCTAACACTGAATTTGGTAAAACACTTTCAAGAGTAAGTTCAAACAAGCAAAAACAAAACAAAACAAAGGTAAATTTGAAATACATTAAATGCATATGTCAAATCCAGTCTTAAAAATTCCAATATTTTCTTTAATGAAGTGCAAGAATAATGTTTCCAATGTTTCCAGAAGGAGATCTTATCCTTACAAACCTTTCCTTAAAAGGATATGTTGGGTCCCATATCTCTCCTATGTGGTCCTTCTACTTCTTTTCTATGATGACATGAAAATTCTTGGCTAGCATTCAAGAAATCATATAATCTACTTCCTGTTGTTTTCATTCTTTAATATACAGACATTCATGTGAACACACATATGAAAGAGAGAGAGAGACAGAGAGAGAGAGAGAGATACCAGGACACACACACACACACACACACACACACACACACACGCACACACTTCCCAAGTCACATGAAAATTTGAAATCTCAGACAATACACTGGCTCATGCACCTCAGTTCTCTTGCTACTTTGGAAAGCTCCTACTAATACCTCTGTAGTTAACTCATGGGTCTCACTCCTCATTGGGCATCTCCTTTAGTTCTGATTTCATTCTATCATAATCGTCACTCAACCCAATGACCTTATGTTTATATCTTTGAAGCTTCTAGTATTAGCCCAATGCCCATACTTCAGGGGTATTTAATACCTACTCAAGTGATCCACAGAGAAGAATTACAGTTGATGGGTGCTGAGGCAGGGAGAATTTTGTTAATTGTATATCAGAGACTCAAATCTAGTCTCTGTTTTCAGAAGGAAGTCTCAGGTAACAGGACTTCTTATGGTATACCAATCACTAGACTTCTTATGGTATTCCAATCACTAGTGTAGAGTAGCTGAGTTAGGGGTTATATTGCCTTATGTTAAGATTATTTTGTATACTCATCCAACTTTTACCCTTATTACATTCAAGGATTCTTTATTTTTGGCTCATTAGGTACCAGGCATAGTGGCACAGGTTTCTAATACTTGCATCCAGGAAGCTGAGGCAGGAATATCATGAGCTCAAGATCAGTCTGGGATACAAAGTGATATCCTGTCTCAAACAAACATAAACAGAAGCATTTCCCATTAAACTTTGTCTCTGAGGAGTTTATCTCAATTATAATCTGTCTATTCTTTTTATGTTAAATTGGGACTTGTTTCTCTTGACACCTGTCCCTTCTTTGCTGCTTTTGACTGATGGCCAACTCTGGGACTCATGTCCATCTGTTTTAGGATGGATGACCTACCTTCTGAGTGCTGTTTCTTCATGCGGTTTTAGGAATCATTCTTAAGGATAAGTGCTTTCTGGAAATTTACAGCAGACAGGACTTTCCATCTTTAGCCTTACCTTCAGCTACTGTGCAAGTGTGTTTTTTGACTTCTGTCTATTTGAGTGCCCTTCAGTGTTCCTTAGTGTCCAGCTCTTAATTCCCATTCTAATATTGACCTGCCCAACACTATATGTCTCTGCTTTTTGCCACAGTCCATTTTTCATAGCATGTCATTTTATGTTACATACAAGTACAGCTGCCAGAAACCTAGAACTTTCATGAGTGACATATAGAAAATTAGATCAATTTCTGAACACAGTTCAAGTAAAATCTAATGCTATTAGTTATTGTGATATTATTTGCCAGCTTTAATTTTACATAAAAAATGATTGTATTGTAGAGATATTGTAACTTCATGCAGAAATTGTCTCTAGACAATTCCTTCATGGCGCCATGCCATTCAAATGAGAAATAAGCATGCAGAATTATAGCTGTGCTGTCTAGTAGGGTAGACTCTGGGCTGTTAGAAGGACCATGTGGATGGAGATGTTCTGTGACTAAAGAATATTTCAGCTACTTCCAAAGACCATAAAAACTAGTATACACCTCCTTAGTAATTTTGATATTAAATATATGTTCAAATGATAATGCTGTTGAAATCTTTTGCATATTTCTTTATCATTTATTTATTTATTTATTTATTTATTTGATATGACAGCAATACAACTGAAATGACCTCTGTGGCTTGTTCTGTTGTTTTTGCTGTTGTTGTTTTGTTTTGTTTTTTAATCAGGCATCTCTGTTTCAGAGGACATGGCTTGAGAATATTTCATGTTCGTAAGTTTATAAACATGGAAATGAAAGTGAGTGAAGAATTATAAGACAGAAAAAGTTACAAGGAGGGCAGGAAGCTTCTGCTTAGATTTAAATGTTTTGATTCCATGCACACACCTACATGCCACCTGCTTGATGAGCTTCTTGATAGCTTCCCCAGAGGAATGAAGCTGAACCAAATGGCAACTGTCTAAGGCTCACTACGTGGCACCTAACCCCAATGCCTCTTTTTTTTTTGATAATTGGATTCATTTTTAGTGCATAAAACATATTAAATTGAGCTGAAACAATGTTGAAAAGAGGAAAAACTGCATTATTTGCTTCTTTCATTTTTTCTATCTTCTTTTGTTGCTATAAATTAAAACTTCACCTAAGTTATTTTATTTTTTCCGTTTCCCTCCCCTCCTCCCATGCCCTCTCACCTCCCCCCAATATTCCCTAATTTCTCCAGGGAGGGTGAGGCCCTCCATGGGGGTGTCCATAGTCTGTCATTTCATCCAGGGCAGGGTCTAGACCATCCCCCAAGAGTTCAAGGTGAGAGTACATCTCTCATTGTTGGATGGGAGTCCAAAGTCCAAATACAGATCTACTACCCAAGGCTCAATATATTACGTAGGCCTCCTCACTGACACCCATATTCAGGGGGTCTTGATCAGTCCCATGCTGGATTCCCAGGCATCAGTCTCTGATTCAAGAGCTAACCCTTGTCAGGTCAGCTGTTTCTGGGGGTTAAACCAGCCCAGTCTTAACCACTTTGGTCATCAGTCCTCCCTCTCTGTCACTGGATTTCTTGAGTTCAGCTCAGTGCTTAGCCATGGGAGTCTGCCTCTGCTTCCATCAGCCACTGAATGAAGGTTTGCCTTAACGTTAATATTGATTTTTGTCATTTCTTTTACCATAGCATTTCAGTATGCCTTAGGTTTATTACTTTCAGGATCCAGGTCAAGATTCAGTGATGGGCATGATAGCAAGGATGGTTATAAGTTATGTAGATATTGTTGAATTTATGAACTCTGCAGTTCCAGAGTAGCTTTCAGTTCAGGAAATATATTAACCACATACACATCACACTTAATTTTGTGGTGAGGATTTCCAGTCTGGGTTCCCTATTGTGCTACTTAATTTATGGGCTGACCAGGTATATGCATTGCCATACAATATTTCAATGTAATTTGCGCTAGCCAACAGAGGAGATGAAGGCAAGCTTCAGGGAAGCCAGCTGGACAGCTGATGGATCACTCTCCTGCATGCAGGCTGGGGCACTAAGTAGCCTTTGGAGCTTGTCAGCCGGTTGAGTCTTTTTCTGCTCTGAGATGCTGCACACACCAGCCTTGACAAGCAGAATCAGCCATGCTGCAACAGGCAGAGGGCAGCTCCCACAGTTACTTACGTTGACAGCCGTAGTGCCAGGAATTTCCTGGCAGACACTCATCACATTTAGGCCCTGTTGTTCCAGTCTTACACTCACAAAATCCTGAGCCATTACAACGATCATGGATTGAGCCCAAAGGGTTACAATAACACTCTGTAGAAACAAGACAACACACAGGCTGGAGACACTTCTCACGGTTTAGAGGTTATCAACACAGGGTCTTCACTTACTTAGATGCATTCACTTACTTAGCAGAAGATGTCCATTAATGAAATGCTTTGGCAAATATGCCTTTTTCAGGGCCATTTATTTACTTGCTCAGCCTTCCATGGCCTCGTTTTTATGATATGGGAGGAAAACAGCTGAACCCTTCCAAGGAAATAAGACATCATGCTTTCACCAGTAACAGATCATAATGGAGATTCCATTTGTGAGGGCATTTTTTAGATGGTTTAATGAATGCCATGAGAAGGCATATATCAGGGATAAATCAATATTCCATCAGTGTAAAATCTGTTTTAAATTATTCAAATGGGTTTATCTGCTACACTCAATATCTGAGAATGGCTGGCCATCTTACAGTGCAATATGGATGCACTTTCCTCGTTTAAAGGTAGTTTTGCTTTATGATTCGGAGTGGTGCTTTAACTTATTTATGTATATCCTGCTTTGAGATGAGCCCTTAGAGTTGGTATTTGCTGGGCATGATCACCCAGCTTTTATGTACCATAGGAGAACAACCATGAAAGAAAAATAAATTTCACACTCCCAAATAAATCTCAGCAATAATAAACTTTGAGATGTATATTTTTTCATTGCAATTTGTTTTAGCAGGAGAAGGTAACATTTTTTTTGTTTTGCGAGTAGTAAAAACCCAATGGAATGCTTCCTTGAGTCCTCACACACTCTTAGACAGGACACTTTAATGTCTGAATTCTACAATGGTCAAAATGTTTTCCCCTGACTGGAGGCACCCAGATGGTTTTGTGGCAAGGGATTTCAGACCTACACTTCTTTTCCCTGCTCCCATGCTGTAAGATCTTGGCCAGGTTACTGTCACTTTATGTTTCTCGATTTTCTTGTTGAAAATTGAACCATTACGAGATTCTCCTGCTAAAAATTCAAATAAAATCATATAGCCAACAAATCGACTGAAGCCCTTGTGAGTTTAGTTTAATTATAGCTGAATTTATGTCTTTGTCAAAGATGAGGATTCCAGGTTATCATTATGAATAGACCTACAGATTTTGCTCAAATTTTGTCATTGAGTGAAAATTTCTTCAACTATTGTGGAGTAAGTACCTTAGAATTGTGATTTATTTTGTGTCAGGTTTTTGAGCTCAATATTCTCATGAAACAAATGTTTACAAAGTTAATGGTGTATGTGTGTAACTAAAACAAAATTCGAAAATATTTCTTCCTTTCTTGGCTTGGTTTGTATTTAATAACCAGACTTTTAAAGTGGCATCTTCTATTCCAATGTGTATCCAGGAATATGTTTTTTAAATTATGGTTTTGTGCCTAGGTAACATTGGACTGCTTCTCACTTAATAAAGTGTCTATATTGATGATGAAGTAGCAATACTTTGTAAGTTAGTTAGTAGAGTTACATTTGGGCAGCATGGATTAACATGCTTCTCCAATTAGTTCACATTGATCGATGAGATAGGTTTTTAAACAAAATTCAAAACTACAGTTCTGGTACCTAACCCATAGTATATCCCAGTGTTTTATATAAGAAAGATAGCAAATGTAATCCTAGTTATGAAAATAAATGGCAAGGTTTTCCCTCCTTTGTCTTGTATACAAATAATTCAGTTTTTCAGACTCATGAAGCTCTGCTTGATGGTGGTAGAAGGAGTGATGAGGATGGCCATGGAGATATTATTTTATAACATGAAATGATGAGGAAAATACAGGGCTGTCAAATTGCAAAACAGCATGAAATACTTTGCACAGCTCAGTTAAAACGTCATACTACAATTTATTTATGGGCATTAAAATCATCTTGAGATTCCCTTGTTCTGTGTAAGGTACTTCTGATTACCTGATCCTGGGTTTCAAGGAGAATTAAAAATAATACATCATAACTTTGAGATATGTTTAGTAGCAACTGCTGAGTCCCGTGTTTCTTTCTGATGCAAAGCTTGTTAAGGGAATTATTAACAGTGATTACCCAAGGTCAGAAACCCTGCGTCCTCTAGCTTCCCACTTAATGCTCAAGTTTATAGGAAGCAGAAACATGCAAGGATGCCATTTTCATGTAATTGTTGCATTATCATGGAGGAAATGTCATGTATCTCTGAAGACATGACTGTGTTTGGAATTTGTATTGAAATTGGGTGAATTCAACAGTAACCACAATGCAGAAACCACCATGGCAACATGCACTAGCCAGCTGCATTGCAAATTTGTCAAAGTGCAAATTGACTTTAAAATATCTTGATAGTCCCTAGATAGATCAGAGATGTGAGCTGTGCCTACAAAGCTGGGACAGTGACTCTAATTGCCAATTGTTAAAGAATTTGCAAGGCACCTTTTGAAAAGTGTTTTTTTTATTTAGAGATGATGCAGACAGAGTTCAAAGTATCTGAGATTAGTACTGAATGAGTTAAGAAAATATCTATTTTATTTCATCAGTTCTTTCTGAACTAATATCATTAAAAATAGCTCTCAGTTGCTGTAGTAGGGCTTCACAAATTAAATATTCAATCTTTCCCTGTAAGGTCTTTTTGCTTTGCTTTAAAATATTTAAATGTGAAACACTTTCATTTCATGGATTTTTATTTTACAAAAACAGGTTAGGGTTTATTGTAGTGTTCCTATTAATTTTACCTTTTCTGTTCTTTCTGTATTTATAGTGTTATGTATTTTTACAATTGGAATTCAGAAGAGTATACTCTGTATTCCAAAGCCAGGCAGGTGTGCATCTTTTGGTTCTTATTAATATCCTCGATTCTTTGTAACCACAGTGTTAGGAAGGTATTTGGACTCCTGCTAAAAGTTAGCAGTGGGATGCTGTTGTCACGCAGGAAACACACTAGAAGTAAAGTCCAGGCATCTTTAGCTCTGATAGTCATGCCAGAGTGGTTAGTAGGGAGAGTTCAATCTATGGAATCAAGATGCTCTTTGATAAATGTGTGAATGTTGGGTTAGCCTGTCTTATTTTTTGTCAAGTATAAAAGAGGAAAAATTGTTATAATACTTACCCTATTGTTTTGTAATGAGAGTTAATTTTTTTACGTTGCAGTTCAGTGCATACTTTATCAAATGTTCCCTGTCCACTAGCTTGCAAACAAGCCAGAAGGTTTAAATGACTTACCTAGGGCACACAGCTAGGGAATAGGAAGTTGGGACTTGAACCCAGCTCTCCAGCATCTAACGCCAGTGCTTTCTCCACTAATTCACAGATCATAAATAAGGAAGCACTTTGAAAAATAGAAAGTACTGCAGAGATAAACAGTATTGTTCATACTTGGTCCAAATAAATTCACAATAACCACAGCTAATTAATGATATTTGGCAGAGATCTTCATGACTGTCACACCCCAGGAAGAAAACAGGGATCCAAGACACACAGTTGAAATGAAAAGCTGTTTCTTTTTCCTTTTTGATGAAAAGATCACTTGTCAGTTTCCATCTTGCATGCTCTAATTTTTCAACTTATAAACTCTACTGAGCTTGACCTCTTTGGAAAACTTGGTCTTTAAGAACTGTGGCCTGTATAATTTCTGCTGTGGTGACAGACATCACACTTCAAACATAGGCAGTTTTTAGAGGAAATTATAGAATGAAATTCCATTTGTTGTTTTTCTATCAGACTTTCTCACTGTTTTTGAGATAGGGTCTCATGCAGTGCCGACTGTTCTCCATTCACTATGTAGCTAAGGGCTGCCTTAAGAATCCTAACATTTTTTGCAGTCACTTGTCATTTGTACAGATTACAAGTCTGCCCCATCATTACTGATTCCAGACTCCCTTCCTTGGAGTCAGGACCCTCTATATAGGAGGTAGGAGAAGCTTTTCCAAAAGAAAGGGACACTTGATCCTACAGGTAAGAATTGTCTTGAGGGAGGATCTGCTCTCACTGGATCCTATCTTCTAAGGCTAGTATGTATTTCATAATCTAACAATCTATAACCTGGGGAGGTTTGGAGACATTACTCTTGCATTGGGGAACAATAGGAAAATTAAATAAATGGAATTTCATGCTGTAGGCTGGCAAACCTGCCACATTAGAACTTGGTAGCAGCTTTCAATTCTTATACAACAACACTTGTAGTCTCTACCCAAAAGTTTCATATCTAATATAGCTAGTTATCATTTTAAAGGTTGAATGTACAATCTGAGGGGATGAAATCGGGTAAAAATGTATCTTGAGATTTCATGCAAAAAATAAAAAGACAAAAGGAAGAAAGAAAAGAGTAAAGAATGGAGAAAGAAAATTCAAATATTCTTCATTTTCCAAATATGATTTCTCATGACAATCATCTTTAAGGTAACAATATTAGGATTCAAATTCAACCCTCCCCCCACCCACCGATTATGACTTTTTCCAAATGCAAGTGAATTCTCAGTCTACTACAAGGATATGTGCTCCATTGATGATATTCATTCTGGCTCAGCTGTTTGCAGACCACCAGCCTCTCCACCCTAACCAGATCCCCGTAGCTCCAAAAGCACAGAACAAAAGCTGAAATCGTAAGGGGACTGACCTATGCACACATTCTCATCGTCCAGCTGTGCAGAAGCATTTCTGAAGTAGCCCAGCCTGCATAACTCACAGTGCTGCCCTCTAGTGTTGTGTTTACAGCTCACGCAAATGACTGTGTTTAGCAGATCGATATAACTGCACCGATTGGAGTGGCCGAAGCATTCACAGTCTTGCAAGGAAGAACAGAAATGTATACAGAATGTATACAGCAGCAGAGAAACAGCACGCTACATGCTTGAGTGAAATGAGGGATGGAGAAGAGATGGTGGAATGGCATTACATAGATGGGAACGAGCGTAACACATGGTGACAACAGGTGGTGTGACCAGCATGAGAGCACTAGTTGTTTCAAGCAGGATAGAAAGGTCAGACAAACGCCACTAAAGATTGTTAATTCTTGGCAGACAAGATGAACAGAAGCATTTGCAGGTGTACACCTTTTAAAATTTGGGAAGGCTCAGTTTCACCTGATGCACAAATCTAATTTTGCACATGAAAAACTTTACTGACTTTGCATCATTTTTCCCATTTTCCTTCCATCTTTGCAATCCTAAAGAGAGGGAAGGAAGCACATGGGCAGCAGGTGTGTGGATCTGATGACTCCCATGGCTCTTTTTCTCTCTATTTTCTTTCTTCCTTACTTTTCCTCTTCTTTTGTTTGTTTAAGACTTACATGGTGTCTTATAGACATCATGCCAAGTTCATAAAGATTGAGTCAAGTACACAATTTCTTAATTTTGTTTTTCTTCACTGCTAAGAGAATATGTCTTTCTTGTCTCCTTCAGGTAAAATACACATGATCGTATGTTATAGAAAACACAAAATACAGGGAGATTATTCTTATGGTAAAACACTTAAAATTTCCTTCTCTCAAGTTTCTTACTATCCCTAGTATCAAAGAGCGGTCAGACACCCTACTGTACTCCAAATTTACTTCTGTTTTCTCTATAAAATGTCAGAGATGCCCATGGGGCTACAAGAGTGATTACAGTATGAACTATAGAGATAGAAAGAGGATGGGAACTGGTGGGGTGTGGAGAGTCATTAGATTTTCTCTTTTGCTTTAGGAAGAAATGGTAAAGATAATTCCTTCATTGATATAAATAACTATTTAATAACTCACAAAATTTGGAGGAACAGTTCTGTGGGAATCAAAATATGGGGGAATTTGACCAGTTGATATTTATAAGAAAAGTAAACTATGATTCTGCAAACTCTGTCTATAAATACTCATTTCATTAATATCTTATCTTTTATTTTACCCAATTAGGAAGTCAAACAAAGTCACTATTTGAAATCATCCATTCATTCTTTCATTCATGCAGTATTTTATTGAAACAGCCTCAGAACTCTTATAGGTATTAATTTACTTTCTAATTTAAATAAATTTTTTTCAGAAATATAACACTTTAGTGATCAGAGTAAAATTGAGTACATAAATTAAGATAGAAAGAGGAAAGGTGACATATACGTATACACATACCATTATATACTGTATTTGCCAGGCTTCCACGTGTCAGAACAGTGTAGATTTATTGATTAGAGATCTGGTAACTCCCGTAGATACTGATATCAAGGTCAAGGTCCTGATGGAAAGAAATCTAATTTGGCTAGTAGCAGAGGAGGACACAGCGTGGAAGATAATGAAAAGTAGAAGAGAGCCATGGCAATATCAGTAGCTTGTTGAATCTAGTTGCTTAAAAGAGAAGCAAGAACAAGGCAGGGTTCTAGAAGCCATGTGGCTTCCTTTACTGAAGATTAGTTATATTGCTGTGTAGAGAACAGGGCTGTGGATGAAAACAGGGAAGGACCAGGGAGAAGAAAAGGACTGAGAGAAAGAGGCTTGGCTGCTTCAGTGTGACAATGAAAGGATAGAAATCCACTGAATAGGTAAGAAAAAGCCATATCAACAACAAAAGGATAACAATCAAGCTATAGATCTTGAAGTGAATTATTTTGAAAGCAAGTTACACAACCCACAATACCCTCACTTCTGCGATGGCACTAACTATTTGTGGATCCTGTTTGAAAACCAAATTAATAATTTGATAGAATTGATAATAATTATTTAAGAAACCATAAATTGCTACTTGTACTATTATAAATATGTTTCCAAAGGTAAGCAGACATTAAAAAATCAAAGATATTCTAGGAAGTAGGCTAATGATAACTTGATATTTTAAAGACGTCTAGACTGTTTCTGAGATCTTGATAAAGTTGCCTTCTCTGACAATGATATATTTGGAAATAAAAAATTCAAAGAGAATTTGAAAGTGATTTGGAAGACAATAGAGTAATATATAGATAAAATACTTTGTATATATATAAATTGTAACTGTATATAAATTCATTAAATTGTATAGAATCTGGGTCTTATTCATTTTGCTGTATGATATTTTAATTTATTTGTAAGTATTTTTATAATAAAGGTCATAAAATTATACAAAAAGGATAATTCACATATGATTTTCAGGGGTCTATTTAATTTACCATTCTTTACTATCTAGTTTCCTACTCAGGCAGAATCCATGAGTAATCCCTAGCGAAACAATTTGATATGATATTAACTGTTTGACAGTTCCTTAGTTCTTCAATTCAGTGACCTACCATATCTTCCTTTTCTTATGAGTCATAGAATCTATTGTACCTTTGTATAACCTCACTTTCTTCTAAAAAGTTCACTACCCTCTTACTTCCACTTAGTCTCCTGGGAAAACATCTTAATGATTAAATTAAATTCTCTACGTCACCATGCTGAAATGTTAGCAGCCACACATGGATGGGAATATATTTTCCAACTATTTTGAAGTAGGTTTCGTGAACTGCAGTTGAGTCCTCTAGGTTAGCTGACAGTCCTTTCCAAAAGGGTCCCTGGATTTATCCTGTTATGTTGAACCTCCTCCTTCCTTACTCATTGTTTTTGTTATTTTATATATTTGCTTTTTTAATGTCTCAGAGTTTAAGTCCTTGAAACTTTAATGTCATTAGATGCACCCTTGATATTTTTTAAGTTAAAACTCTATCTGTAAGGAGACTTTAAAACCATCTATATGTAGAACACTCCAAAATACTATTTTCCATCCTGATCAACTCTCCAGTTAGTCAGACTCCATTCAGATGCACATCTTGCACGCAGCAGCCTTCTCACCATCCCCACTAGGATACTTAACTAACATCTTAACTTTAAGATGTTTGAAACTGAGCTGCTGGGGTTCCTTCCTAACCTTGCTGCCCAGAAGATGGCTCCATCTTAAGAAGTAACACCACCATCCTTCCTACTAAATCCACTGCTTGGTTGAAATCCCAGTGTTGTCTTTGCTCTCTCTCTCTCTCTCTCTCTCTCTCTCTCTCTCTCTCTCTCTCTCTCTCTCTCTCTCTCTCTCCTCCCTCCATCCCTCCTTCCCTCCCTCTCCCTACAACCACCCGAGGAGTTGATCCACCTGGCTATGATTTTATATTTGTAACAAAACTGACGTCTTCTCACCATCTCTGCCATCTCATCCTTGGCTCAGATGACGTCACCCTCATTTTCATCATCTCTAAGCTGCTCTTTCAGGCAGTGAGAATGACCTAATGAAACTCAGATTAGACCAGGCTACTTCACTTCTCATAGTCCCAATGGCTTCTCATCTCACTCACATAAGAAAGTATGCATAGTACCCAAGAGAAGAGGATGGAGACAAGATCCCCTGAATGGATGGGGAACACGGCGAGGGGTGGGGGGGAGTGGGACCTGGGAAGAAGAGAGGGGGTGAAGAGGAAGAGAGTTGGTCATGGGGGAACAGGAAGTTGAGGGGGTGGGGGTAGAATAGGGGAAAGAGGGAATCATAGGATCGAATACAGATCAGGCACCAGAGCGACCTCGAGTGATCTAAAGGGATAACACCAATTGGCAAGCTAAGCAATAGTGGAGAGACCACCTCGAATGCTCATTCCTGATAATGAACTTGATGTCTATAACCATCTGGGAGCCTTCATCCTGTGACTGATGGAAGCAGAGGCAAACACACAATCACTGAACTGAACCCAAGGAACCCAGTGACAGAGAGAGAGGAGTGATGAGCAAATTGGCAAAGAATGGGCTGGCAAAACCAGCAGAGACAGCTGATCTGAACAGGGGAGAGCTCTTGGACCCCAGACCGACAGTGGGGAGGCCAGCATGGGACTGATCTGGATCCCCCAAATGTGAGTGTCAGCGAGAAGGCCTGGGCAACCTATGGGGCCCTGAACTGTGGATCAGTGTCTATCCCTGGAATACAAACAGTCTTCGTATGCCTATAGCACAAAGAGGGATGCTCTCTCAGCCTGGACTCTTAGGGGAGTGCCTGGACCCTACCCAGAGTGAAATGACAGACTCTAGATATCCCCTATGTGGAAGGATTTGGCAATAGGGTGGGAGGGTGGGGAGGAAGGGGAGTGTGGGAGGAGGGGAGGGAGAGGGAACTGGGATTGACATGTAAAACAAGCTATTTAAATTAAAATAAAAAATGATTAAAAAAAAGAAAGTTCCTTGATTCTTAAGCTTACTAGCCCTTCACTTCTCCTGGACTTTCTTCTTTTCTTCCTCACTTGCTGCAGTATCCCTTCTTATTGCTTTTAAAACACACTAAGCACATCTCAGTGACTGCACTGTCAGCTAGGTTGGATGTATTCCTCTCCAGACATCTTCTCAAACATTATTTAGTACTTGTTTTCCCACTTTCTGAGTCAAGTCCCAGGCCAAAGAAAATTCTCTGAGTACTTTATTTAAAATAACAGCCCCTCTACTTAAGCACCCCCATCTTCCAATTCCTTAGTCCTTTTGATGTTTTTCTAAGCACTTATATTATCTGAAAATTGAATTTTAAAAGGTCTTACTATATATTCAGTATAAACAGCATGTATGTAGACCACACCTACTTTGTTCCCAGCTTTAAGCACAGAACTTAAAGCATTGCCTGAAATATGTTAATCACTCAGAAATTCTATTGAATGAGAAAATAAATGAGTGAATGATGTTCCCAAAGTACCCTCCCTTGGGAGGCAGAGAAGACATGATGGAAAGTTATGGTTAAATTTATTCTTTTACTATTCAAATCCCAAGAGAGTCTGACTATATCCGGCACATTGAGCAGTTTAGAAAAACAGCACCACACAATAGGATATAACCAAGTTAGTGATTATATTAGCTGAGAGAATACATCTATGTACAGACCAGTTTAAGAAGAAAAAAGGCAGGTTTCTGCAAATTGCTGTGCCTTTATGTTTTTAAATCTCAAATCACAATGTAATGTATAATATAAAAGGCATGTGCTATTACTTCTGTACACAGCTGAGTCTTTAAAGCACACATACATGAGTACATGGTGTTACAGGGCAAGCACAAGCAACACATTCATCAAGATTCTTCTGTACCAAGCACCTCATGTGAGGAGGTAAAGTGAGAGAAATTGAGTCATGCGTGAGTGTGATTGACACTTAGAGCCAAATACTTAACTGGGTTGAGCTCTCCTTGAACTATAGGAAATTCAGAAGCACCACCAGCCTTAGAAACAGTAGAGAACCCCAATGTGCAACAATCAAGGATGTCTTCAGCCATGAGCTAGTGATCTACTTGGAAGATATTTACACCTACAATTATGTCTTGATCTATAATATACATGACATATTTTTCATCATGCAAGATGCTTATGATAATGAGGTACTAATTAGTAGTCAATTAGGACCTCTAGAACAGGCTAGAGATGCTTGAGAGAAAAGACTACATGTTGGCTTTCCATGGCATCCGAGGCCCACGCCCCTCTGAAGTTTTCCACAAGGTTTCATCTGATTGAAACTCCCTGTGGAAGACCTCAGCAGACAAGAATCTCAAGAAAGCAAATAGTTGGAGTCAAAGTCAACTGAAGAAAAATAATGTCAGGAAGAAGAGTAGATTGCATTTCCCTTCTATGCCTTTTTTCTTATTACTTTGTAATTATAATATTACACCACTCAAGCAACTATAAAGATGACAACTAAATACAATCTAGGTGTATTCTTTCAACCAGGGAAAGCCTATTCAAATCCGAAGCTATTGGAATTCATTTCAGGCATTCACATGGAAAGGAGTTGGGAAAGTCACTTTAGAAAAAAATGCAAAGGGATAACAATTGCAGGAATTCTTTTTGTCCTCATTGAATTAATAGTGTGACATTTCCCCTGAGATCTTTTCCCAAGGTGCCAATGAAGAAACTCTAGAATTCTCTTGCGTTTTCTTCACTCCACTCAGTCTTGCATCTTTATATAGCTACTGAGCATCTTCTGTACATTTTTAGGATAAGATAAGTCCCCTTTATTAGTTGAGTTCTTCTCACTTCTGGAATGTGTTTGCCATTAATTAGTGCTCCTCAAGAAACTGGAGGACACAGGGTCAAGCTAATGTCAAGAGGCCTTCTATATATTGAGTATAAAAGTGAACAAAAGGACATCAGTTCTGTCTGTCTCCTTTCTCCTTCATCTCTTGGGTTCCATTCCATAGAACTGCATATTTTGGATGTGGAAGTTTTCTACCATACCTATAATGATTGCTATCATTTAAATCAATAAACCCAGATCGACTTCTAATTCTCTAAACCTAAAACAGGTTGGTTCCTATTTATTTTCTCAAATTCATAGCCTGGATGGATTTCCCTTCAAAGGGAATATTCCCAATATTCCAAGGGAGTATTCTCAATATCCCCAATCCAAAATACATCTCGAGGCACAAAGACATAGTTGAGACACTATCATTTTCCCTTTTCCCATCTGGTGACCAACTTTCTCCTTTTTCCTGTACACTTCAAATATAAATTCAGAACTGACTGCAATCTTGAAAATAGCTTAATTCATTAAGTAAAAAGAAAGCTCTCCTGGTATTTTACCAAGAAGATTAAAGCAAGTTCAGATTTGGTCAAGGGCTGTTTTGAGGAAAATAAAATAAGAAACAAGAAAGAAGACATATGCCCAACAGTGAAGACTGGAAAACAAGACACACCTACTACAGAGGACATTTAAAGGAAATTGGTGAAGAAATAAAAAACAGGGTCTTCATGTTTCCTGAAAAATCTTAATTTTGTGAATGACAGCTGGTAGCTGGAGTAGGCCATTCATGACTTACAGATGAGCTTTTGCCCATTTTAATTTAAAGAAAGTGACAGAACTATTACTTTAGAAACGATCAATACTTAATCAAGAACAGATCTTCATGGATATTTTTCACACTCATTAAAAACCATGTTTGGAATCATAAACTCTTAGGCATTTCCTTTGTCACAAAGTGAAATGGGTAGCATATAAAGAGCCTGCCCTTTTGGCTTTATAATAAGTATCATCGAGAGCCACTGCCAGAGGCTTTTCTTATTCTCAGCACAAAGGAGCATAACTGTGGATGCTCTCAAATTCCTGATCTACCTGAGAACCTAGACTTTCACAATTCCTACTCATACATCAGTTTTTCAGAAAACAAATTTTGCAGCATATTTAATTGCAGTTGAATTTCTGACTGAAGCCCTTTTTCATATACATAACATTCTCGGTCCTCATGGATGCATTGGCTGGGAGCTGTCAACATGCCTTACCAATAAGCTGATGGGTACACTTCACAGATATTCCAGATTCATACAGTGCAATGTTTCACAACACATAACACCATGAGATCACTGTATGAATCCAAGAATTCCTACCTCGCTTGTGGTTTGCAACTTGAACAGAAGAAACTGTTGACAAAGCTAATTTGGGAGCAACTGCATAGGTTTAAAAAAATGAACAGCAAATTAGAAACAGTGAAATGTTCAAACAGTAAATAATACCTTATAACCAACCCAATCTGTGGAACCCTAAGTGAAGAGACTATTCACATTTTTTTCCTGGGAATCTGTTGCAATTACAAGGAAGGTTTCTATATGACTGAAGATGGTTCAACATTGTCATTAGTAATAAAGTTTACTTTTAGGGGGAAGGAGAAATAGCCTTTAAATGAAGGGTCCAGTGAACAAAGCTCCTTCGCATCATACTATTGATATTAGGGAAACCCGAGTGTCCTACTTCACAAACAGCTGTTGTGTTGTTGGGGTAATGAACAATAGCAATGCTTCAGCTTATCATGTCACTCTGTCTACACATGAACCGGTTAGGCCATTTGTTGTTGTTGAACAAAGTCACACGGTCAACCATTCAGCACTATTTGATCTTGGAGTCACCTCGAACATGGATCCCTCTAAAAATTTTGTTTTTTTCCCCAGTGTGTATTGCATTTGTGTTGTGTACTTTGTTAATGACATGGTTGTCTTTCTAAGGAAGCCTGCTATTTCTTCCTAATTATTTATGATGAGTTGCTTATATAAATAACAAAACACAGAATGTTGGCAAGAAAAATTACATTTCCACAGAATTGACCTCTGCTAGACAGCATACCTTTTGCGAGTATTTCAAGTTTAAGCTCTTAGTCTAGCAGTGTTACAGTTTTAAGCAGATTCATTTGAGCTCCTTATCAGAATCCCCCAAAAATACAATTGGCCTTCACTAATGACATTTCTGAAAGTTTTGTCCCAAGATACCAAAAACATAGCAAAATAATCAAATGGGCCCATTTCAGCATTTGAACAATACATAATCACATTGAGTTCAAAACTCACTGTGGAGAAGTACTAAGCCTTAGGTCCTTTCCTGCATATTTGTTGCACTTCTGAATTCAGTGTAAAATACTGTGTGCCATTTCAAAGACACTCTCAGAGAACAAGCCTAGGAATAAAGCCACTAGACTTTCCCCCAGTCCTCAGAGAATTATATTAACAGGGATGAGCTTGATCTGTATTTCTTCTTCCACATATCTACCCAGAAACCTGAAGAAATTCATTTAGAGCAGATGATTAAAGTAATTCTATTTGCTAGTAATATATGTATCTAGGACAGTCTCAGTTTCATCACTGATAGTGGACTGAAAATGCAGCCCTTCCAATTTGACTCCTCAACAAATTGCTAATATATTTTGTTTTGTTTAGTAGCTATTTCCTGGTTCCTCCTTTTGCTCATTTCCTCCTCCATCTGTATTCATTAGAGTTCAAAAGGAACATCCTGTCTATAACTAAGGAAGGCAGAAATCAGTGATGAATGTTTTATTTTTGGAGAAAGAAGGCAAAGGAACACTGCTTTCTATTGAGATAAGTGCCTATTTATATACAAACACATGCACATATAGGTGAGATGTCAGTGTGAATCTAACATTACCTTGCAGCTTAAGGAGTTCATCATCCATTTATAAAGTTCTATTTCTTCCCACATAATCCCACTGTCAGTTTCCTCTCTCCCACTTTCCTGCTTCACTCTCCCCCTCTCCTTCCCCCTTTCTTCCTTCCTCCTTCCTTCCTTCCTTCCTTCCTTCCTTCCTTCTGATATCAACAGCCATAAAATACATACTTTTCTTAGAACAGACAAAACCCCATTTTTAAAAAACTGTTTAAAAAATAAGAATGTTCATTGGTAAAGAGGATGGAGGGATAATTCCAACAAGAAAATTTATTGGAATTTGTATGTATGCATCATAGTAGATATGTGAGAAAGAGGGAGAAGACAGGCAGAGGAGGGAAGGAGGGAGGGAGGAGAGAGAGAGAGAGAGAGAGAGAGAGAGAGAGAGAGTACCAAAGGTTTTGCAAGTTAATATAGAGCAATAGTAAAAGAAAGCAGGTCTGCTGGGAGTGCTACCTTAATCTGTTTACCCTAAACTTCAAAACAGTGGAAGCACCACTTTGAGGTGCCCATAAATTTTTAAGATTTACATCCATGCTGTGATAACAACTAAACTCTAGGCTTTTCTTGGGATTATATCAATACAAATTTGTTCAAAACTTACAAATTCTGTGTCATCCCCACCCCCAGTTCCCCTTTACTCCAATATTTCCTGGTCAATCTTCATATTAGAAAAAAAGATTAAAATTTTGATTGGTTCACAGACAAGGCATCAATGGTGATGCCCTATTTAGTGTTAAGATGGAATGTAGGATTTTCCCCCCAAATACGGGATTTTTATATCAGTAGGCATTTTAGACACTCCTACCTTGTTTGGGGTTAGAAACCTCAAGGGAAGAAATATTCGGCCATATCCTATTAAACTTTGGAGGAGCTGCATGCATCAGGAAAAATCAGGGAATGTTATTTTCAACTATGATGTCATTTGGTCTAAACAAAAAAAATATATCTATATGGACAAAGACACCGACCACACACCTGTTGTTTATCTTGGCAGTGATGCACTTAAACAAAACATGACTTCCACACCAAACAAGAGCAAGCAATTGACAACTCCCAAAACATTGAATGGACATTGTTTATATAGCTACTTCTTTAGCAAAGCTTTGCATTTACTTTGGAAACAAGTAGACTGTTTTTACACAACTAACCAAAGAGGGACTTCAGCAATTCAAACTGATATGTAAAGTTGGAGCCTGAAGCTAGAAGATAACACCAAGGAAATCATTTCTCACTTGAAGTTTCCATTCTACTCGATTTATATTTACAGATATGAACTGGTTGCATTAGTCTTTCATGAGAGATTCTCTGTAGTATGTTTTAAGTGTGAGCCATTATCTCTGACAGGAAGTGGATCTAGCTCCTGTTTTAATGCATGAAATTTCTAAGAGAAGTAGAGAAGGCATTACTAATGGTTCTTGCTAAAGAACAACACAAGGGTTTTCCGATCACATCTAAGCCTTGATTGTATGGGTATATTTTCATGATGTTTTTCCTTGAAATACATTTCTGAAGTCACTTGTTTTAAACCAGAAGTAATGAAGGACATGATTTTATTTAATATATCAATTCCATTTTAGGTCAGTTACAAAACTCTAAATACTTCAGAAGGGAAGAAACCTTCCACGTTTAAGATTTAATGTTCTGAATCTGGCAGTTTTCTTCAGTACAAAGATCATGGCTATTAAAGTGACTATTTCATGATTGAATCTCATTTATTAAAGCCAGCTCAGAGATACATCTCTCATGTATCTTCCTTTGGGATCACCCAGTTCTCAGGGCAGCTATGACTCTGTCCTGCCTTAGCACATTATGGTGGGTGATCCTAACTTCTCATTGGTAATGTGAACTGGAATGACTTTTAATATTGCTAGTTAAAATTTCATAGATCTACTTTTTGTCTCCCTGATTAGATTGGATCTATCCAAAGAAGGACAAAGCCTTTGAGAGACCTTCAGTAAGTACCTGATAATTGAGAAATTGATATCAAGTGGCTGGGCTGCTGTAAACAGGTATTATCAGATTGTTTCCTCCATCATTTGATTATAGCAAATGATGCTCTTGCAAGACATGGAACCTTCATATTACTCTGAATAACTTTGTGGAAAAGCTAATCTCACAGACCCATTGGTGCCACTGCTCCATTCTTCTCTGCTTTTACGCATGTGGATACAAGCACAGAAAATCTTAATATTGGTATTACTATACCTATCAAAATTTATGGCTAGAAAAAGAATATATTTTTCTGCATTTCAATCTGGGCATTGTTAAATAAACAAATACTTGGCAACATGTATGCCAAATACATGTGGGATTCACAGGACTCAATAAAAATGATCCTATTACTCTCTCATTCTTTTGCTTCTCCTAAGATCCTGGCATTAAGTTAAGTATTCAATAAACACTAACAAATATTCAATTCCCTGAAGTAAATTAGGCTCATTGGAAAGTATATGGCTATTATTATTGAGAATTGTCCCATCTTATCAAATCCAAATGTAATGAAGCCTCTGAGAATTCTTAGCCATTGGCTACTTGTTACAAATAGATAAACAGTGCAGATAGCACAGTCTTATACTACACAAAAAGAACTTGTATTGTATTGGGGAAAGTGCTGCAAATTCATTGGTTTCATTTTATTCCTCAGTCATCTAGGAGAATCTCCAAGTCTCAGAGTGGTGCTTCATTATGAGGCAAATAGCCCTGAGAGTCATAAGATGAGGAATTCGGTCACAGCTGTACCCCTTAGGAGCTATCAGGCTGTTAATTTACTTGAATTCCATTTTCCTTATACTTAAGACAAAGATGCTGAAGAAGTGGTCTCCAAGATTTCTTTTAGCTGACAAGTTATGTCATCCAGAGGTTCTCTCATGGCTTAACAAGATCATACTGAAGTTTATGGAATCATGGAGCCTATAGGGATGACACATTTGCCCTTTGGAGGAATGAGAGGAAATTACCGTTGCATGCTTTGGTTGTGGGTCTTTTTATTATCACAGTAACTCCTTCATTGGAGCTTAAAAAGCACTGCTTGGGAGAGATCACCATCTGCAGATGGTCAAACACTCAGGAATAAACTCCATGACACTGGGCCATGTGGGACAATAGACTGATGTCTTGTTATGCTATCTGCTTAACTGGACTTCATAGACTGCCTATGTATATGATAAGGAGAACATGCATATATACCACAAAAGGCATTTTTAGTGATAAGCAATATGTTAATATCTGCAATATCCATAGGTTACAAATATTTTATTGTTACTTTAGATGCCAAACTATATCTATTAAGAGCCTGGAAAATTACTATTTTGGGGGAAATTATATGAAATATGGTACACATAAACAGAGCTCAGACTAGAATTCAAATTCTATGACCTTACAAATTCTTAACCTCTCTAAGCCTAAATTTTCCCATTGTTAAAATGGAGAAAATGGCATTGTGTGTTATGGAAACTGCATCACAGTGAGAATCCAGTAGCTATTAGCTTTTTCCCATTTGTGCTTATTGTGGCAATGGAGATCAATAATATAGTATAAATGGTCTTCTAGATTCAAAGTTTAGAGAAGAATATGCTCCCCTATTCTTTTGTTTTGTTTTGTTTTCATTTTCCCCAAAGCAAACTAATGTGACCTGCATAAAGCTCATTAAAATACAACTTGATCTGGAGAATAACCTGGTTCTAGTCTGTGTCGCTGAACTCTACTGTTCAGAATGAAGCAAATTGCCTCCCAAACTATGATAAATATTAGATTTCAACTTTTCACAATATAAGGATGGTAATCTCCACATTTGTTTGGAAACTCGTTAGCTTAGCATATGATTCAGATATGTCGTTTTTCTGGATTCTTTCGTTAACACAATCCTTGAGGGAAATTATAAAATCATTTAGTTCTAACACTTGAAATCCATTTTCATGAATTAGAAAACTGAGATTCACATTATAAAAATGAGAATCTAGAAGAACATTTTTTTTCTCTCCTTTGCGCCCCAGGGATAGGTTTCGGCACTGTAAATGGAAAAGAACCATGTTAGAATTGCTAAAACTGACCGTCTAGTCCCTACGCCATAGTGAATCAAGCTGAAAGCAATCTTGAAGCAGAAACTAAAGACTTCTGATTTATATAATCACATTTTGAAGGTAAGATTGCCTTAGAATGTTATATCACATGACATTCACTAAGCAGAAATGGAAAGTGAGTTTCAATTCACTTGTGGAGAATCTTTAAGGACCAGATAAACGGACTATTCTTTCCAATCAAGGAGGAAATTTACTGATTTTTTCTAGAATATTCATCACATACTGTCTTGTACTATGGTGTTTTAAATAACTAGGAATCTATTTCTAAGGCCATGGTAGAAGATTTAAGGCAGGAGATGGAAACTAGACATTATTTGATTCATGTGTAAGACGAGGTTAGATGAGTTGTTCTAATGAGTTGATGCTAATATTTTGGTTCTGAAACACCACCATGATATAAGCTGGCATTTGAAAGATGCTGGTGGTGAACTTGCTCTAAATACACATCCAAGGGACTATGGGGGTGGGGTGGTGGTGGGGAGAGGGATTTTGTGAGAATAATATCACAGGACCTTTTTGTATTTATATAATCATTTCTAGTGTTCCTTGGGAAGTCTTGAAATAGTGCTATTAGTACTATTGCTGTTCCTTGAAAGTGTCTCTAGAAGATCCAAAGTTCTTCAGAAGAAATTCCCTTGGATGCAATCTTACCATCTCCACAAATACCAGACTACTTCTGAGAAATGAATCATCATTAAGTTGATGGGAGAGATGAGTTTAATGTCATAGTAAGAGGTCTATCCTTGGGATGACATAGTTGCCTGAACTTGTAAGCAACTATTTCAACAGATATAAAGATTAGTTTACTCTCACAGAGTATGTGTAAGCACTTTACATAATTCACACAGCTCACATGCTGCTTTGTACTCTATAATAGCCCAACATTTATATACTTGCACTATACTAAGTATACTGGGAAGTTGTACGATGTAAAGGAAGCACATGCTCTCATGGAGTAAGGTTTTGTGGTCACTTTTCCTCATTCACCATGCTTATATGTTTGTTCTGTTGACAACACAGTGAAGTACCAGCAAAGTAACTTCCAGTTTTCTTCAAAATCTGTGGGTTTTTATACAGAACTGGGTCAATTCAGGAATCAGGGGGTTTCTTAACTACATCGAAAGAGTCTTGGCAGGAGTCAATAAATCCAGTTTTTTTCTTTATGTAATATCTTACGCTTCATTTAATGCTATGAAGTTAGGCATTTCTGTTCATAGTACATTGAGAAAGCTACTTGGTCACTCTGAGCCTCAGATTTACCATTTGTAAAACAGAACTTTGTAGAAACTTGGGGGACATGACTTTATAATTCAAATCACATATCTCTGTATAACTTTTCCCAAGAGGTGGAATGGTCAGTTGGTCCCATTGGCACTCCAAGAATACTTGTAATCCAAGGAGACTTCAATTGGAATACTCTGGAAGGGGCTAGTGCAGAGTAGGGATTCATAGTAATCTGTTTGCGGGTTCATTTTAAGAACCTTAATATATCTTTCATCTAAAAAAAATCCTATCCTACAAAGACAACTAGCAAAGGTAGAGATTTTAGCTCACACTTAAAAAGTGGATTGACATTCTAAAATTGACTAGGTAAAGGTTAAAAAGTCAATGTGTTCAAGATGGGTAATTATTGCCAATTAAGATTGGAAAACCTTTCACATTCTGTGCATAAGAGAGAGACTCTTACCCTGTCACTGGAATATTTGATGTTTTTCAGAATTAAAAAGGCAGCTATGTCCTAATGTTCATTCAATTTTAGGATAACAACAAAGGTTTCATGAATATGAAATGCTAGTTACACAAATATGAAATGGATCTGTGATGAGGATACTGGGTACATGATAAAACAGTCCCAAAAGGCATTACACCTGAGACCTTAGCTTTCTTTCTAGAACATCAGCAAACAGTTCAAAATTAATGTAGCACACCATGCAATTTGCCATGTTGCTACACTAGCCTGATGATTTTTTTCCCTCATTATAGAAAATCTAATTAGTTAAAGGGCAATTCAACGGAACTTTTATTTGGGGGATTTAGAAATATTAAAACAAGGGGGGAAATCAAACAGACACTGCAGCTCTCTGAGTAGAGTGAACATGATTATTAATAACCCTTGGGTGGATAAGTGATTAACCTTGTTATTTTTCCTTCTCACCATTCAAATTTCTACAACAAATCAGCACTGCACAAAAATATTTGGATGTTGTATGGAAAACAACTTTTACAAGGTCTCCTACTGGCATCAAATGTTCTCAAGTATGAAAACATCTCTGGGCTTTCTCAACAGGCTGATGGATCCCCGCAGGTAGCATTTCCCCTGTTTAATAGTCCTGCCAATTAAATCAAATTAGAGACAAATCTTTAACTCTGTGATGAAGGCAATGCTCATTATAAGAGAAAACAGGAGGATGAGATAGTTCCCTAAAGTGAACTGTTGTTTCAAATGTAATAAATGGGCTCTGAAGGAAGGGAATGTCAAACTGCTCCATCACTGCTGTATGCTTTGTATGCCATCACATCAGTTAAATAAAAGTTGTTTAGGAGGATAACCTGTAGTCAGGGTTGCAAACTAAACTATATATATATATATATACATATATATATATATATATGTGTGTGTGTGTGTGTGTGTGTGTGTGTGTGTGTGTGTATTTCTATTTTTCTTGTATTTTCTTTTGTGTTTATTTAAAATTCCAAGTACTTTTGAAATGGACTTCTTGATGTCATATTCATTCTCTGGAGGAATTACCTTTTACATTTGGCGTATCTATCATCTGCCTTTGTAAAAAATAATAATCACCCCACAGAGTTATTAAACATTAGGACAGTTCTTGCTAGCCTAATTATACTCTTTATGATGTATTGTTTAATATGATTAGTGTGACTCTTTGCATTGCTGGACTGAGAATTAGGTAATATATGTTAGAACATAATGATTAAGTTCTCAGTATAAACAAAAAACACCCACAATAAACCATCTATTAATTTGGATCATCAGCATCAAAAATGTTCACTTGAATAAAATTGTGAATTAAATGTGTATGAATTGCTACCATATGAGGTTAAATATAAGCAATGGTCACAAAGCTTAAATGGCTACAGATCTATTTTGGGATTCATTAATTGCTGACAATATGATTAGTAATTTTTTAGACATGGGTCAAAGCACATCAAAATGACTGATGCGATCTTGGGATGTTTGAGGAGCCTATTTCTTGGTTGATAGACAGAAGCAGGTAACGATTACCTTAATGGGAGATTTGTTTAAAATATTTTTAGCAGATGATCAGAAAGGATAGCCACTTTGTCCATGTAGTTGAATCTTAACGCTGATGTTGACAATATGAAATCTATACTGAAGTCTATTAGAGCTAAATCCTCCAGCCATTGTAAGATATAGAATATGCATGTAAATTTATGGTCATGTACATCTACATCAATAGTTTACATTGGTAATATACATTATTATTTTCCATAAAAATACTTTGATGATTAGAGCCTCATGGGTGTTTTGTTTGTTAAAATGGGATCTTCCTAGATAGTGATTGGGATTGTGTTCATTGATTCCTTCTTTGGCATGAAGAGAGAAGCCCTGGAAAATTCCCAGACTTAGCTAAATATCCAAGCAGCTTCCTCTTTTCTATCTAGTACCTTGAAACCATCTGCCCATACCCTCTACACCTTTTAAGTCGGGCAATGAGTTACCCACATGTGAATTCTTTCTCCATGGAGAAAAAAAGGAATCCCCCAGTGCACACAATAAGCACCCTCTAAGGCCACAAAGAAGGAACTAGTTAATTCCATTAAAGATACCTGGAAGATAACATCGTGTTTTATGGTGTCATCATAAATCTCTTTACCTTAAAAGCCAGACAACAGGAAGCTAGTCATGTGTGATACTGGGTGATCCTTGAATGCTCTTCTATCTTGCTTATTAGAAATTAAAACAAAACCAAACCAAAAAAGCACCCATTGTGCTCTAAGAAGAGTAGCCAGTGGTGTTCAGCCTGCCCACTATCGTTTTGAGTCATAGGGTTTTGTCACATCTAGTAGCAGTCAAATTTTCTCAGGTTCCTGATCATAAAGATTAGTACATTTTCCAAAAGAACAACCCAGCATCCTTTCAGGTCACATCTGATTTCCAAAGGTAACTGTGCAAAACGAAACTAGAATTTCCTGATCCAATGTGTAAAAGGTCAACATCTGCTGATGCTCAAAGGTGGGGGATGGGTGGAGGCGGCCGAATGAGATGTGGAGTGAGCAGGTACAGTCAGGGGTCCATGCAACACACAACTGGCTCTCAGAACAGAAACACACCCCAGCACCAAAGAACTACTTTTCCACTCATCCATTTCTGACATTCTGGGCATGCCAGATCATGAGAGGCCTTCTGGGTCCCTCTGCTTTAAAATTGCTCAAGAACAGTTGTCAAGGCCTGAAAGGAGCACTTTGTGGTATATACATAGGCAAATGCCAAGCACTAAAGCAGAAATACTAGAACTAAATGTCCTCATTGGCAAGGTAGGCCCAAGATCACAAAGACAGTACTGCAATCACAGGTTTGTGTCAAAATGGATGTAAATGCTGCTTCTGATAACAGAGCAGCTGATTTTCATGGCAATCAACATGTCTAATGGTTGACAAATAAGTGCCTGGGCCTATTCACACAAGTTTAAGTAAACTGGGCTGATCTATAAATTAGAACTGGCCTTGCATGTATAAGAAGTGGCCATCTTCTTTACCCAATTGTCAGAGCATTGCTTTTAGAAGGGTGTTGGGTTTGGCAATGCTTCAACTGCTGTTATTTACATTGTGAAAATTCTCCCTGGCACAAGCCTTTGATGAGTGACCATCACTGGGGACCAGTCTTTTTTCCATTTACAGTTCATAACTGGAGCTTCCTCAGTATTTTTTTTTCTAAATCATTATTTCAGTAGTGACTCTAAGAACTTTGCCATTGGACATAAAGGGTGTGAAATTATTCTATGAAATAGTATCATGCATGTTCACAATACACATTTCCAGCATTGAGTGAGGATGCACTCAGCAGCCTGAACCTCTTGTAGCTGGAGATGCTCAAACAGTGATATTAGACAGGGTTGTCCAGAATGGAGGGAAGATTTCTCTCCAAATGCTTGTATTTCTACTACTAGATTTCTTTAGGAAGTGTTGGTCCTATCTACCTTTCCTACCAAAGAGAAAACAAAGGGCTCCAGAATGAACAGAACACTGTAATCAGGAGAGAGGAGTGGGCAGTATCTTTAATTCCTCATGATGATTAATGATCAGAAACCCACCTCTGTCAGGCCTTCACAAAACCTACGTTATAATGCATTCAAAGATTTCCTCTCTGGCTTCATGGTGTTTTCCTTGAATTTTAATGAACGCACTTAGGACATTCATGGACACTTACTCTCTGTTTTTTGCAGTTACATTAGAAATCCCAACTCGGTCCCACAGAGAGAGTACAATCTGTTGTTGGTTGCTAAGTATGAAATAGGACTGTATATAAAATGAGATGTATTTATCTAAGTAATTGCTTCTCTGTTCATGTCTGTGTTTGGGTGGCCTTCATGAATCCAAAATCATTAGTTGGCATTGCACCTCTAGACAAGAGCTGTATGCAAGTCACTATTTTATCTGTATTCCCAGTTCACCTGTTCCTAAAACCAGGAGGACACTTGAATTCCCATAGATAGTGCTTTTTTGCATCAGAAATGGACATGAGAAAAGAGCTCTGAGGAACTGAACAACAAAGCAAAGCTAGCCTAGGTTTAGGATGGTGGTTGTTTTACTTACTACCGATACTGGAAATGCTGGGGATACCTGCAGAGAAGGAACAAAACAAAACAATATGGAACTGTTAGCTATTTACTATGTGACATCTTTAACTTATTATAAAAGTCTTAGAAATACAACACTTGGTGACTCAGATTATTAGAAATTAGTATAGAAAATTTACACAAAATACATGTGCATAAGTATATATACTGACATTGATTCAAGAACTCCTCCAACTCATCAGATTTGAAAAGTTCATGCCCACCTTCAATCAGTAGTGCAATGGTGCCTAATGACATGAAACATTTTGTGCTTATTTATCAGATTAACAGATCAATTCTATGTGGTTCAAAAGTAGATATATTAAGCTAGGCTTTTGATCTGACCACACTACTGAATATACACCATGTGTACCTGCACAAATATATCTGTAATGTGCAGTGGGTCCCTTTAAATCTGTTACAAGGTACATGCATAAGCTCCTGAAAAATCATTTGACAGTTTATTTGATTAATTTCACATAGTCACCCTTTTTATTCCTCTTTTACTTGTCAGATATGTGGATTAAACTCTGTAATAGAAACTTAATTGAGCAGAATAATTCAAGAATACATTACATCGTTCATATTGATCATGGGCTTCACTGATTATTCAGCTTCTCTTTGATTCACAAATCATGCTAAGCTGGTGAAACTACTTCAGTTTGGCTTGATGTCTTAGAAATGTGTTAGTAATGTGCATCCACATTACAACTCCTACCAAGCATTATAGTACTTTGACCAAGTGCAGAATCTCAAGTCAGGACATAGGACATCTCAATCCAAAGGGTGGCTCCAACTACTAAACCCTTACTAACCTTGCAATCTTGGACAAGTTCCATATAATCTCAATGCTCACTTGGTTTCCTATCTCTCTATTTGTTGTGGAGATTATATAAATTGGTAGATGGAAAGCATGTAGACCATTATTTGGTAAGTAGTATTCTTGTAATAGTCACTCTTACTGTCTTAGTTTGCTCATGAAGTGTTGCTGATTAAATATCAGGGATTTACCTCTTGACACCGAGTCTATGGTTTCTGTATGGATGACAATGAGATGTGGATCAGGCAGTGCTGAGTGAGTGTCCTGCAATGCTGCTACTGATTTTTAGCTGCTTCAAGCCTGTTTCTTCATCTACAAAGCAGCCCATCATTATCTATTGCATTGGGCTGCTGTGCGGGTTGAACAAGAAAAACCTGAAGCACGTCTGACACAAGGTATGTAACCAATAGGTAATAGCTGTTAATGAGTTGGTCAGTGGTGTTCTTCACGTCGCTGAAGTGTCCTCGCAGGTGGGAACTGTAAGAATCGTCAAGCTTCTATTTTAGCATTTATTTTCTAACAACTGCCCTCTGCATAACTGAACTGCATAACACCTTACCTTTTTCTGAGACTTCTAGATTCATAGCCTTTAAAATAAAAGGTTTATTTTTATGTAGTCATGTGAGAAATGGGAGACTATAGAAAGGTTATTATGATGTATATAAACCCCTGGAAAGAGGACAGGATCATCTTATTTTCAGTTATTCGGTACATGGAAGATCTCTTTATTTTAGACAATTGGTGTTTAGTTGTTATTGTGATTATTGCACGTGTTTGTACCTGTGTGTGTGTGTGTCTGTGTGTGTGTGTGTGTGTAGGGGCGGCACTCACTTCAGCCTGCACATGTAGAAGGCTGAGTTCAATGTTAGGTGTCTTCCTCTATTTCTTCCCATCGCATTTTTTAACACAGGGTTTCTCACTCAGCTTGAATCTCACAGTTTTGGCTGGACAGACTTGCCAGTGGGCCCCTGTGATGTGTCTATCTTGCCCCTGCCCAAAGTGCTGGGTTTATAAATGTGTGCCAATGGGCTAGTCTTTTATCTGGGTACTGGGGTTCTGAATTCAGAATACCAGGCTTGTGCAGGAAGTACTTTACCTGCTGAGTCATGTCCTCTGCCCCTAAATATTTGGAGTTGATAATACTTCAGCTTAATTACTTATCTCTGTTCAATCAAAATTGGAAAATGGAATGTCCATATTCCATCTTTCTCCCGTGAACTGAATTTTTAGCTAAATGTGGTTTCTGCAAAGGACAGCTAGACTCTGAGCCCAGCACTTTAGTCAACGATCTTTACTGCAATGTGACATTGACTTGGTACTGAACCTTTTTTCCCCATTTTTGCAAATTCCCCACTGAGTGAGGTGTGATGGCAGCATCATAATTTTAGTATCAATTGCAGAAGCTCAGAATTTCATGATTGAAAACTCTTCTCTCATGCAAGGCACTGCTTGCCTCTTGCAATCCATCAAAGAGAATGGAAGTTGAGATAGCAGGCAGGGACTTTTCATGTGTTTTCAGACTTTCACGGAGGCAGAGGGCCATGCATAAATGCAAGGCGAACTGCTCAGGGAGTTCCACCAGACACAATAATAAACAAGGTTGCAAGACGGCTTACTGCAGTGCTTGCTTCTGTAGAATGCTTCAGAAGATGCAGAAGTGTTTCTGTTCCTCTGGGGCCACAAGTGTAGGAGAACCCTGTTCATCCCAGGTATCCACACAGTGCCAACCATGACTATTCTGAGATTCTATTTTCCTCATGAAGGTGCTATTACCTAACATCGGGTGCTTAGAATTCAGACTCTTCTTGAATCCATGCGTTGTTGGTTTTTGAGGTATTGCCAGATGAGTCACTCTTTATTCCATGTCTGTAAAAATGGTAATGGCTCAGAAAAGATTTTTAAACTGCTCATTTGAATAAACAGTTCTGGAATTGAATATATCTAAACACCAAGGGATATCTATTAATTTATTTCCAAATGTTATTTTCTCCTAATGGTTCCTATGTTAATGCCACAAGCACATTACTGTTTTGGTTGTCTGAGGACAACTGAAGTACTTAGTAAACCCAGTGCATCCACTAGAAAGGTAGCATGTATACTGTCATAAATGATTTAAGAACTCAAGAAAATAATGCAGGGAGGCCTAAAAGTGGAAAGATAGGTGTCTTCAGGCTCCATAAAAGTAAAACCCTGGGATCTGGTCCCATTTCACTATGGCCACTGCAATCATAAGTGATGGTATGGTTCAATTTGTGCTTGGAGAAATTGTCTAGGCACATGTTGGCAGATGCAGCTTTCTTTTTCTTTGTCATGCTCCCTCTAAGGTGGTAACTTTTGTGTAAATAATATTTTTGTCTTTGAAACTGAACTCATAAATGTTTTCTTCCAGTCTTTCTCCATATCCTCATGTTGGTTGTTCTCTCTGTCTGTCCAGGTTTCCATGATGGATTTATCTACTTTTCTCCAATTCAGCTGTGTTTCTGAGAGCACTGATGAAAGACCACACCCTTTTCTTTTTTTGAGCCTCTGATACCTTTTGGGACAAAATATAATCCAGAAGAGTTTCACAAGGTATCAGTGTATTGGATTTGGGGATTGGACATGAGGTTACATAACACTTGGTGTTTACTACAGAGGTATTTGACCCTTCTGTCTACTTGTGTTGTAATAAGGTCTCATTAAGTGTGATTATCTCAGTGCTCCATGAAGACCTTTATGCTGTGATACTCTTGCCTCAGTCTTCTAAGTTGCTGGTATTAAAAGTCTGATGGGAAGAAGTATTAAATGTACAGATTCCTCTTAGCTTTCATGAAAATCACTGGGTCAAGCCCAACATGGTGCTCAATTGTGGGATTTGCCTGGCATTGGATGTCTGACCTATTTTCTTTGTAGGTTTTTGTTAATCTATTTTCTTTTAATTACCATTTTGATGCTTTTATTTATATTTTCCCTAAATAGCTTATGGGAAAATGCAGGTTTTGTGGGACACACAGGAAATTTAAGAATTCCCTCTAATACGAAGCATATAACCTCAATGCTGAAGTTAGATATGAAATTTAAATTCTTTATTTAAAGGAGTGCAGGGAAGAACCAAAGTGCCAGATTCCACTAACTTAATCATTCTTTGAACAACCTAAATCGTACTGAAGGATAAAGAGATGTAGTACATAATAAAAATACACTAGCAAACAAGGAAGGGGGAAACCAACACAAAGAAATTCTCAAAGTTTGGTAAAGGTTTGAGATCTTTTTTTGATTTTTTTATTTTATTTTCCAGTTTAAATTTAGATAAGAAACAAGGTTGCTTCACAAGTCAGTTCCAGGTCCCTCTCCCTTTCCCTCCCCTCCTCCCGTGCCCTACCCCCAATCCCCCGCCCCCCGTTATCCCCTCATTCCCCCAGGGAGGGTGAGGCCCTCCATGGGGGTGTCCATAGTCTGTCATTTCATATAGGGCAGGGCCTATACCCTTCCCGAGAGTTCAGGGTGAGAGTGCACCTCACATTGTTCTATGGGAGTCCAAAGTCCGTGTGTATACTTGGGATGGGTACTGAAGGTTTGAGATCTTAAGGAGAGTTAAGAAATCATCAGTTCAAACCTCATTTCATAGAAGTGGCACCCAAGCTCACCCATTTATATGCAGCACTAGAGCATGTGACTCTCAGTCCCTGTCTAAGCAGTGTAGACACGTCTTGGGAAAAGAGAACACAGGTGTGGGTGACCTCTAATGAGAGGCTCTGCAGTATGCAGAGAACAATTTTAGTACCGGTACTTCTAGAATTAAGATGTCACTACCTATAGAAATGCATACAAGCAAACCAGAGGGGTATTATTCCACCATGTGCTACAAGAGAAAGAAGGCAGGAAGGTTCTGGCAGTTGTTCACCCCTTGCTATTCCTACATGCATGTTGCTATTTATTATAATGGAATTCTGCTGAAAACAGGGACAAGAATGTAATAGAATTTCATAATGGTATAAAGTGAATTTTTTGTTAGCTCTTTCTCCATCAAGCAAAAAGCTAAGGGGTGTGTAATTAAGCTTAAAGAAGTCAAAATGGGGGAGGTCTCAAGAAAATAAATACCCAATCTGCAGAAGCAGATTAAGGCAGTGCTAAAGCTATAACTCCTTTGAGAGCCAATGACAGGCTGGCTGCTTTCCATCATGAGGGAAGCAACATGATAAGGA